GATGGCCGCGAAGATGCGGCAGATGTCGCCGTCCCCGTCGCCGTGGAGATAACACCGGGAGTCCGTGCCGGATTCTTCCGAGAAGTGACGACGCCAGGCACAAAAAAGAAACACTACACCACAGCCAACTCCGGAGGAAAGAAAAAAGGGATACAGAGTTGTCGACGTTTTAATCTCGACCAAACTGCCCAGAAGCACCTGCTTCTTCTGCGACCACCTGCGCGACGTCCTCTTCGAGGAGGAACAGAAGCCGAGCGACCGACTCCTCCCAATGCTGAACTTGTACAGCCGCGATCAGCTGAAGGTCAATATCGACAGCACCGCACACCTCGACCATTGCGAGGTTGTCAGAGTGAACAGAGGCCGAAGGCACCACGTGCGTCTGACGCACACCCTGGAGGCCCAGGGCGCGCCACGCCTCAGAAAGTGGCCCGCTACTGGCGCCATAGTTTCGTGACGGCGGTACGTTCTTACGACGTGTAATATGATGCAATGCGGGTGCACAAGACCCAGTCCGCCATCCTCAATGCAGCCACCCGTCTCTACGATGTCGACAGCTCCAGCGACAACAGCGACTACGACGAAACGCAGCACCTCACCGCAACTCTCCGTCGGACCTCCGCCAGCCATTTAAGGAAATACCGCCGGCGGCCGGCGCCGCTGAGGAACAGTCCCGCGGCGCCAGCCCCAGCCCCCAGCTCAGCCCAGCTCAGCCCTCCGACGTTGCGGCAGAGGAGCCCCCACCTGAGGAGGTCCCGCCGTCCGACATGGCGTCGCCACATCCCGACAGCGCTATGGTTGCCCAGCCTCCTCTGGCCATGGCGTCCGCAGGTGATGACGGTCAATCGAAGCCCGCATCCCAGCCCCAGCAGTCTCACAAGTCGCATCCTGGGCAGCTGGCGGACGAAAGGGGTGTGTTCCACTTGGAAAGTGGAACCGGCGTGGTGGTTGACGGCCACCTGAGACGATACTTAGCACACGGCATCCAGAACCCACCATCGAGAGATTGTAGCGGATTCGGGCGGTCGTGGTTGGTGGCCGAGCTGGCCGCCGTCGATCTGACCCTCGACCTGGGCCTAGCAGCTCAAGGCCGAGGAAGAGTTACGAAGACCGAGGCGTTCCTGGATGGTCGCCAGGGATGGAACAGATGAGACAGGACATCCAAGAGATCCCTCGCTCGACTGGTCAAGATTACCAGGAAGTGAGGTGATGGACGCAGGCCAGCCGTGGCAAAGGTTTGAGAAGTCTCCGCCACGGCGTGGTATCGGGTAGCCGCCCTCCCTTTAGGCCATTCCCGTCTGCCAGGCCGGCGGGCGTGAAAGGCTCCCGGCGCGCCGCGTCATCGGCCCTTTGTGCCGGCAGCGGCTGGCGGTCGCCGCTCAGGGGGCAGCGGCGGCCGTCCTCAGTGGCCCCGCCCGGAAGCCTCCGGCCGCAACGCTTGCGAGCGGAGGGTCCCTCAGCTGCCCTCTGCCCCCAGCCGGCTACATGCCAGCCGGTTCGGGGGCACAGCCGAGGGATTGTTGACATTAGTTTGTAAATAAAAATTAGTTGGTAAATAAAATTAGTTTCTAAAGAAACTGCCGAGGAACGCCACCTTTACGTGTTAGGATGGATTGCGTGCTACCCAGTCACCTAAGGGCGACCGGGTAACCGGACTAAGAGTGCCCAAATTTCTTATCCTTTTGTGGTGTGTTGTGTGGGGTTATGGTTTATTCGGTTTTTGTGTTATATGAGTTATTGTTGACGTTAATGCATGCATGTATGTTTATATGTATGTATGTTTCGTATGTACGCGCCTGATGCGCCACAATGTGCTCGATATTGATCTACAACATGTTTTTTTTTCCGGAAATAGGTTTAGTTGATAAACGAAGGCACCCGAGTCGTTCGAGAAGAGGTAGGTTTCCTGGTAGCGTTATGCGTGGCACAGACAGTCCCTCGGCTGCCTTCTGTTCCCAGCCGACTTAGCGTCAGCCGGTTTGGGAGCACAGGCGGGGTTGTTGCATATGTTAGTTTGCAAATAGGTAGGACTCCCCCACGGGCACCACCCTCAAGTGGTGGGAGGGATTGAGTGCCGCCCGGTGACTTTCGGATCACCGGGCAGCAAGACTAAGAGTGCCCAAACACTTGTGCGGTAAGTTTGTGTTGTGCAACGTGTGGCAAAAATGTGTGAAATATATTTTTGCCCTACTCTGTGTTTCATGCTATGCGCAACGCTATGGGAAAAATTATTTTTATTTATTAGGTTAGACTTGACTTATACATTAAAATACACCTTGCTTGTCAACGCCTTTGGAAATACTGGTAATGCTAACCT